TTTATCCTAATGTAAAATAACACACAGCACCAGGGAAGCATGGATAATTTAGATGCTGCTTTATTTGAAGACAAATAACAGTGCTAAAGAGACTGGGATACTTGGAAAGAGTTGCAAGAAATCTTCGAGTCGCGCAAGTAGGGACATTCATCTTCTTCCCCTGTCAGGAATGTTCAGTTGCGAGATGAGTTGTAGAGACAGGAAAAAGCCCACAGCTTGAAAATTTTAGTCACATCTGTAACTATTTTTCCCCCAAGGAAAGGAAACCAAAACACTCTTGCGATTTTCCTGGGCTTTAGACGACAGAACAACTGAAACAAACGCTCTTTCCGAGGCTGCCATTTCAGACAGTTTTTCGCTTGGTAGGTATGTGAGGACACATGGATCAGACAAGCGGCCTGGGTGACATTTACAAAGTCCAGCCAGGCGTTTGCTTCTCCTGTTAGGCAATAAAATGAAAGGATTTTTGTGATAAGGCTTATAGATCATTATAAATACAACAATAGGATGTTTTCTTAAGAATGACCAGTTGTTTTGCCATTTCAAATTAATGCACGGTGGTTCCTTTGCACTTAACATTCTTCAAAACATATGGATATTATAGTGAGAAAAGGACTCCAGAAAAAGAAAAAAGCCAGTGCTATCAGCTTAACAAACAAAGAGGCCTATATTGCATCTCCTCACATTTAACATCTCAGATTTCAGTCTGTAAAGGAGACCCGTTTTATAAATTACTATCTTGTCCAATTTAGAGTCACAGCTACAGATTTATAAAAAAAAGGGTTTAATCCTAAAGAATTCTCCTCCAACTGTCTCATCAGCTTCTGCAGCATATAAAAGCATTATAAGGAAGTCACCACAAATCCTTGAGAGATTACTACAAGAGGCAATAATTACCAGTCAATCTTGGATTTAAGGATTTATATGAATTTGCTGGACCAACTTCAAGAATTTAAATACTTTCTCCTGATATTAAAATGGATTTTGCCGAATTTAAATACAGACAGACGGAAGTGGTGTTAGAAGTTTAAACTGCTTATTAAGAGATTATAAAGGCCCTTCTCTCCAAGGTTACCAGTCTGATCCAACCAGGACTAGATTATCAGGAATTATTGCTATCAGGAATCAATGCTTTTTAGCCAAAAGCACGATGGCATTTCTTTTGGGAAGTGGGTATGTACCATTGGCAGAGCCACAGAGCAGGCAAAGTGGTGGGAGATGAGGAGGGTGCTCCTGCCAGCTTCGCCTGTTGCTCCTACAGCTGCCGCCGGGGAAGCCCACGGACCTCCCTCACCCGCCCTGTGGTACACTGAGCCAAAGAGAACCTTCTCCAGAACTGCTGTTTCCATAAACACTTACCCTTTTTATTTAGGTTTCCATTTTTAAGATGTGAACCTCACTGATCCAAACATGGAATTAAGTAGTATGGGCTCCCCGGACACATCTAGTACTGTTAAAAATGTTCCATGAGGATGCACATGAAAAAACTTCTCACAAGTATATGCTAGACAACAGTCTTTTGTACAGTATTCACTGTTGCTTACAATCTTTCTACAGCCTTACCCTCTCACCCAGTTGTTGCACGATTCACAGAAAGGTCACCACAAACTTTTTTTTTTTTTTTTTTTCAATAAGGAAGCTAAGCTACCAGAACAGCACTTGTGTTATCTCAAACCAACTGGATTTAATGAACATTCTCTTTTTTTTTTTTTGTAAACTAGAATATAAATCCAGTATGTTATTCTGGATTACTATAGTAGTTGTTGCCTTTAAATGGACATAATCTCTGGGCAAGACAGAAAGGCTAATTCCTCTCAAAACCAGAATTATTGGGTTGACAAATCTGTAAACATTAGCTCATGCTCCTTTTTAGTGGTCTTCCATACAGCTTAGGTAACAGCTTTGGGATCTTTAGTGCCCTTTGTGTAGATGTTAAAAGGAGCAAAACTCTGAAGTCATTAATTTTTAAATTTTAGCTTTTTTTTAAGCAAACGTATTAATTCTTTAGCCTAGTAGACAAGTCAGAATTTAAACCAGAAAATATACAACCAGAAAAAACCCCCACCACAACCAAGATTCAAGTTTATAAAGTGCCTGTTTCTAGCTCTGATTGATCCAAATATATGATTATTTTGGAGGTATCTAGGGGTGGGGAAGCAATAAAGAGCAATAGGAGGAAATACAAAGCAGGAGACACAGAGGTGTCAAGATTTTGTAAGAAGTTACATGAAAAATCTTTTTGATTACAGTGAAGTCACTCGGGGTGGGAGTGGGGGGTGGGGGAGACAGACTGATTTTTCATTTTAACAGCATTGAGTATTTCTGCTACCACACTAGACTTTAAAAGTAACAGCTCAGAGCCTGGGAGGTTAATACTGAAAAACCCATAAAACATCCCTGAAGTCAGAGTACACAGAAAGCTGAGCAGAGCTGGTTGTTCTCATTCCTGAAGTCCATTCGATTTTTTTTTTCCCCAGGATAAAAAGGGTTTCTTTTATTCTAATATACTGCTTCAGTGGTCCAGCCAAGGCTCACTGCTCTCTCTTGGTGAAAATCCAAGAGATTGTTTGGATGAAGGTTGTAACAATAATCGTGCCTTATTCATCTGTACAAAAAGAGGAAGATTTCTTTTAGAAAGATGGAGGTTCCAATATAATTTTCTGGAAATGAACAGGCCTCCACTGAGGTATGAACACCTTTTTTTTTTTTTTTTTTTTAAAAATAAACCCCCCCCACCAGCCACAGACATTATTATTTGTTTTACGGAAACAAGGAACCTTCTGTTCCTTGACCTCTCATTAAGAAAGTGGTCTCTGACCGCAGTAGCATGTTCTTTAAACAAATCACGTTCCATTTTTGGAATAAGACCATATTCTAATAATAGTCCCAATTATCACTTACAAGGCGCAATTACTGTCCTATGCATACTGCCAGGTAGTTACGGAGTTTTGGTTTTTTTTAAAATAGGAATAACCAAATGCATGCAAATTGCAATCTACAGGCTTACTGAATAAATTCTAATGATGAAATAGATGAGATACACAAATCAAGTAACTCTGAATTCCTAAATGGAATTAACAATTTGTAACAAAAAAAAGACAGCTCTTTAGCTCTAAAAAGTTCACAAAACTTAATTTAAAAATAATGCAATTTAATGCAGCAAAGACGTTTTCTGCCTCAAGAGGTGAGCAGTAATGAAATGAAAAAGCGGCACGATTTCTTATTGACATAAGGAAACAAAGGTGTTCAACAGCACTGTTTTCTGCATTTGCCTGTATTCCATATCCAAATCTTTTAAGTTTTAAACTGGCGCCTTCTGAGCTTTCTCTCCTCTATCACCCAGGCACGCAGTGGACATGGAATAGTTCTCAGTCTCTACTGCCCTGCTAATTTTTCAAAGATAGGAGCATCCCCTCCTGTAAGCTGCCCTACGGCTACAGACACCACATTCGGAGGTAACAGCTCGTCCTGAAGTCAGACAGAAGTTAGCACAGATAATAAAGGCCTATTAATATAATCTTCTCACAGTTCCTTTGAAGCAACACAAATTGGACAGTTGCATTAACAGAAATATGCAATTGTTACCTCTTAAATAACAGGCGTGCTACCTGGCATTTTGATTCAGTGTTCCACAAGTGTATGAGGAGAAATGGGTCTGTGCTGCTTCAACCTTTGTATTTAAATAGATGCAGTGAATCTCAAGACAGGCCAATATGGATCTTTTGAGCGCTGCCTGCACGCTCAGCTGAGGCACATACATCACTCCCACATAGCCCTATACTTTGAGAGATTCAGAGGGAAGAAAATACAGAAATCACGATCTCCCTGAAGTCATCTAATTCTGCTCGCAGACAAACATACTGCATATATAAACAATGAAGACAGGCACAAATGGTTAAGAAAGGAAGCCTAAAGGAATAATGAAGTAATTTAACACTTAAAATTACTTTAAATTTAAATAGCTCACCTTCACTTTACAATTAAAATGCTGGCAAAGCCTTTGTGAAGTAGATTTTATAAATTCTAACAGTTCAACAAAAGAGACTTTGTCATTAATGCTTAGTAGATACAAATAAATTATTCATTAGTAGAACTCACATTTGCGTTTTATTATACTCCATAAAATATACAGGAATCTTGAAGTACTGAAAGAGTGCAGGTAAATACAGTATTCAAGCAGTAACTATTTCTATATACATGCTCATTAATTCTTCAAAAAACCCACAAAATTATCAAATAGATCAAAATATTGTCCCGTGTTTCCACACTATGTTCAGAAAACCAGCTGATAATTTACAATATCATAAAGATTTCCAGTTTCACAATACAAAAAGGATAAAAAGGAAATTGGAATCAGTTTGTAGTAATTTATTTGTACTTTACCAGCACATGCAAGGAATCCTTGCATGTACATGAACAAATTCACTTGAAAAGTAACAGTTATAGTTAAAGCAGAGCCAAATAAGGTAAATATTCATATTTAACAGACAAAACTTCAGCTTACTTATGTCAGTTTTTCATTCTTCAGGCAATTAAAAAACCCACAGTAGTCTGTTATAAATTAAAAAAAAAATCTTCGGGCAAGTCTGAACTACATTACAGGGACCTGTTTCTGCTGTTTATTTTCTAAATGGAGCACAACAAAGATACACAGCTCTTCCCACAGACCAGACACTGTACTTTTTTTTCTAATAGGGAAATATACTTTTAAATTCACCTCCCCCCCACTTTGTAACTCCAGGGTTTAAAAAAAAAAAGTGATAGGGATATACAATTTTAATCTTACATACAAATTTATGATGTAAGGAAGTGGACAAATTATCAAAAAGAACTCTCAGTCACAACAGAATTATCAAGACATTTCAATTTTTTATGCAGTTTTGTAGTTTCCAAGTTACTCGAGTATTTTTAAATTAAAAAAATCTCAATCCCAAACCCAAACGTTAAAAAAAAAATTTAAAACTGTGCAACAATTACTGCTTCCCTCCCACATCTCCCACCCCTTCCCTTGTTTATTACACTGTACATTTTTCACCCTGACTTCACCTTGTTAGCTGGTTTAATTTTAGTATTATAAAAGTATGACAAGTTCGTTTTCATTTCTCCTAAAAGAAAAAGAAAACAAAACTTAAAAGTACATCTGCTTTCTTTCATGGTACCTTTAACAGTGTCGGAAGGCTTTCAGATGATAAAAAAAAAAATAATAATAAAAAAAAAAATCAACATTAAAACCAAATCTAAGCTTCTTTTCCAGAAGTAATTAAGGTTTGGTTAAAAGAACTTCTCAAATAACCTATTCCAGTTTTCACAAAAAGGTATTTAATTAAAAAAAAAAAATCTTTTAAGTTATTTGGTCCTTTGGCAATTTGCAGCACAAACAATGCCTACTGTACCAAACTCATTTATTGCCTTCAAAATGGTTTTAGTTTTGTTGATAATATTTAAATCTAGCATCCTTGTTGTACAATAGTGTTGTTCATTTACATCAAGTAGGGTGCTCAGTCTGCAGAAATTACTCCCGGCACCAGAAACAGAATGGTAGAATACAGTTAAATAAAACAGTTTTGACATTCTTTTTTTTTTTTTTTTGCCGTGGATTCCAAGTACTTATTCAAGAATTTATGCTTCTTCTGCAAAATATGCTCTTAGAAATCTTCCTAGAGTCTCACAGATTTTTTTTATATGCAACCACAATAAAAAACATCTTCTCAAAGGTCTGTCCTCTTTTTGCATTCAAACACTGATAGCTTTTTTTCAAAAGCACAAGTCTGACCTTCCGGCGTGAGGGTTTACTCTTCAGACCTACAAAATGTAGCTTCTAATAGGTCTCAGAATCTGAGTCATTGAGTTCGTCTTCTTCTGTATATGGGTAGCCATCTTCCCTGCCAATGTTGTTGAAAGTACAGTAAGAGCTATGGTCACTCCTCATGATTGGCAAGGAATCAAAGGTGACAGTTTTTGAGGTGTTGGTATAATGATTAATGGCATTGAATGTAAGGGAAGGTAACGTGCTGCTTGATGAAACAGGCATCATCGTGGCCAGAATGAGAGCTAGGCAATCAGCCACATCCTTATTGGGCGCACAGGCCAAAGCTGGTGTGTAACCTAGAAAGTCAAGAAAAAACAAAACCTTCATTTAAAATAAAGACAATGTAAAAATTTCTTCAAGATCACGTCATCTTTCAGCTGCAAAAGTATTTTATATTGCTTAGTTCTGCACTGTTTAAAAAAAAACCATAAAATTAAATGCATTATCAATTAGAATTTTTTACAAATACAACCCAGAAGTTAGTGGGCTTTGAAAGAGAGATATAGTTGTTTTGTTAAGCACAGTCAGACACTCTAGGCCAGTGAGAAAAGCCTGGATTTGAAAATGGTGAGGACGTCATCTGGCTAAGGAGAGACTAATGGCAGCCAACAGTGATGGGTGAAGGCATTCACTAGAGAGCCACTGCAGAAACTACAGCTCAACATGTTAAATATGTCTTCATCCAGAAGCTTCCATACAGCTGTTCATTACAGATAGTTATTTTAATAAGACTGTCCTGTCTCAATAATAAACTGGCTAAAGCATCAGGGCCAGTTAATTGAAAAGGCAGAGCACACAATTTCAATCAACTTATACTTTATTACAATATACAGTAATATAAACTATACAGCCAATGTCTAACTTTCATTTGAGGGATATCAATTAAGAAATCCACAGAAGTTTGAGGAAATGCCAGCTGGATTAGTAGGCTAGGACTTGCAGAGAGAAACTACACCTCTTGGTTGCCCAACTGGTCTGGCCAAACTCCTTCTGCCAGGCAACGCTACTATGACAACCCCCAAATGCAGGACGTCTCGGTCCGTGGAATGATTTGCAGTCAGGTCACGTAGCTGTGAAATCTTTTCTGGGTAACTGTGGCTCTAATAATCCTCCAACATTTCTCCTTTTGCAGCTTCCCCCTTCCCTATGTACTTGCCTCTACTCATTAAACGTCAAGAAAAACGCTTCAAATTCTCCTCAGTGGAGATCCGCGCATCGCTCCTGTCTCAGGCTTTAGGCTTAATCATTCAGCAAGGCACCTGTGGATAAGTTTTGGCACAGGTCTCAGGATGTATCTACAACCCTGAGGCACTGTAACTGGTGGTGACAATAGCAGCTCTGGAAGCATGGCAGTCACATAAGTACAACCACGGATAACAGCTAATTCTGCTGCCAAGACCGAAATAAGTTTCCTCACTTGGCTCCACACCAGGAGTGGGTGGCCAGATCACCCTGTAGCACCCTTGCAGGATCTCTCACTGCATGCGACAGATATGCCTACAATGAGCTGAACAGGAAGACTCATGTTCAGGTACATTTGGGAGTCTAAAGTCCTGCACTACCCCCAGTCCACAGCTTACAGGTGTACAACATCCAGGTAAAAACCACAGAAATAATTTTAAATAATAGACGGCTTTAAAGCAAACCGCATGATGGATTTCTATACAGACCTTAGGAAGGCATGGAGAATGAGGCAATGCCTGTTCTACCAGTAAGTGTTTCAACTGCTAAGGAATCATCTTTATTGTAGAAGTAGATCCAGGTCAAGCGTTAGGATAAAGCTCAGGAGTAGTTACCGTGTTGTACAATTGCACGTAAGTTTTAAACAAGCAGGCACATTATGGAAAATAATTGTAGCTAGAAATTAAGAAAACTGCAAGCAGGGGACAGACAATCTTGCAGCTGAACTATTACTTGCTCAGGACAGACCTTGTGCTTGATGATTGGAACAGAGTAAGACAACAGTCCCTGCCCAAAGGAGCATACAATCGAAGGAAACACACAGGTAATTCAACCACAAAACACACTAGCTGACCATGTGATAGGGCCATACAGAAGCGCAGTGCAGCAGATGTTTTCCTTGCTAGTAAGGTATCACAGCACTTAAACAGCTCAGAGTTAACAGTGACAGTCTGCAGAAAAAAGACATTTTGAGAGGGTTCAGAAGCAAGGGCCTTGCTACACTCGAATGAAGACTGCATTTCAGGCACGTCAGGCAGAAAGCTCAGCATTGATACTCAAATGCACACAATTTAATATCTACAGTTGCTGGAAATTGTATAAAGGTAAGATGACACACATAGTAAGTTTAGTCAAGCTGGCCATTTCTTTCACTAACATGATTTGATAAAAAGCTCAAAGAAGAAAAACGAGCAGTCACCAGCTACCTTTGAGCATCCCAGTTCATCACAAAAAACCATTAAAGGCCAATGTAAAGATTAAAGAGATTACTTGCTTCTTTTAAAAGTTCTCTAAAAAACCAGTATTTATACTAATATTTGATTGTAGATCTTAAGCTTCTGGCTTTCATAACTAGGAATAAAATATCACAGTTTTATTCTTGCCTTAGACATAGCAAAATGAAGTAACTGCTTGAACCATGAAAGACTGACATCTGCGTCCTCCACCACTTTATTTTTGTCTATATTATTTTAAAATTATAAGAACAAATGGTATTTTTATGTCCCTTAAACAACTGCAAACTGATCATTCATAAGTCAGGGCAACAATAGGTATAAATACGTGTTCTTTTAATAAGATGTTGGCAAAGGTACCAACTCCACTGAAATACTCTTACTCAGTTCTCATATAATGTTCCCCATAATCTGTACTTATATTGCATAAGCTTTCACAGGACAAAAAAAAAAAAAAAAAAAATCTATCACTGTCTTCATTTATAGACAGGGCAACAGAAGCAGAGTCAGGTGAAGCAGCTTCCTCACACAAGAGAAAACAGAGCCTAAGTGGTGGACATGGACTTAAGACCAGGGCTCCCCCTGCCCAAAGCAGAGCTGCTCCCTCCCCTGGGGCTTGAAAGTTTCCATGAAGGCACCTACAGGAAAATCAGAGGGTTATTAATGTGGTCAGTGCAAAGACAGTTCTCAAGATAAACTAAATGAAGTCTTACACTTGGGAAAGAGAAGGTAGTCATCTGAGGCATGAGTCATCTTGCAAGCATTTACAAGAAAAATTCCTTCCAGAAAACTGAAGATCTCCAATATAAACTACACGTAAAGGAAGTAGAAGTAGAACTAGACAAAAAAAATTATTCCCCCCTCCCCCTTTTATTTTTTTAGAAGCTTGAAAAGCCAATGATCACTGTAATGGTGAATCCGGAAAATAAGAGAAACCTCCACGCTATGTCAGTCTCCGGAGTTAGGAATGCCTCCTCTCACTACTGTGGTGCACATTAATACAACAAAGAAAAGACAGACTGTACCAGGAAATTTAGCTAGCCTAGTTAGTTAAATAGCAGCGGAAAAACCCGAAACAAAAAAAACTTGAAAAGTTGTTGAGTGACCAAAAAAAAACCTTCAACTGGTGTCCAATGAAAGAAAAAGCTAGTAATTTCTTTTAAGACAGGTAAACTTGCATAAATAATGTACAATTCAACAGAATTTTTTGTAGATGTGGGTGATGGCAAAGTTTCATCAAGACAGGTGTGGAAACATGGGACAAGAACTGAGAGATTTGAGTGAGAACTGATACGGAAGTGAGAATGAACCATCAACAGGACTACTTTTGAGAAGTATACTGGACAGTTAATTTGCTGTTTCAGTTGCATTTAATCTTTTGAGAATCAAGAGGATTACATTTTTTCCAGAGACATCAGTTCTTAAACATCTCAAAAAGTGATCTCACCACATTAAGAGATGCTTTGTAGCAGAAGCAATATGACTTCAAATCTAGAGTTTTAAATATAGTATAAGTTATTTATAAAATGAAATGCAGAGAATTGGAGTGATGTTAGTTTTTTTCAAAGCTCATGTTTTTCAATAATTTTCTGTAGCCCAGGCATAGCAGCAGAGGACTATTAAGTAGTTTTATACAGATACAAATAAAGACTGCTTGTAAAAAAGGTCAATGCAGCCTTTACAGAAAGCGACAACTTCAGAGACAAAAAGGGGATCACCCCTCCATACCAGCTGAGGTTCTGCTGATTACACATTCCATAGATCAAGACACACTTCCATGTAAAACACTAACTAAAACTTTACCTCCAATTTAATCTAATTCTATCTGAAATGCCAGGCTTGTGTGGCAGATCACTGAAATTATCTGAGCTATGCAAAAGTAAGGAAATGTCAGTGTTGTGATGCAAAATACTCAGGCACTATGGAAATCAAGAAAACTTTTGCAACAGGTTTGCAAGCCTGCTGATATACTAATACTTCTAAGAATGAAAAAATTACAGTGACAGGTGAAATAGATTGATAAATCCCATGAAAATTTCCCTTGCTCTCTCACAGCTCAAAGTATTCATCACTTTGCACATACTGTACTTTAAGCTGGCACATTCATCCAACAGAAGAATTCATTATGAATATTCTCAAGGCTGCTTAAAATTTTATAAACAAAGCAATTGCTATTAGAAAGAAAAGTTAAGAACCACAGTGAGGAACTAGATTAGGTAGCACTCAGAGTTACTTTAAAATTTAAAATACGAGCAGAATTAAAAAGAAGTTTAACATATTGCAGTTAGGTCCCCAGGCTGCCAGAGAACCGTGACTTCTGTATACAAATAACTTTTTCTCCCTGTTATGTCAAAGATCCACCCTAACAAGAGACTGGCTGGCTGCACATGAAAAGCCCACAAAAATACAAACAATATGTCCAGTTAGCATACTTATGATGAGAAACAGATCAAAAAGGTATGTTTTCCAGTCTTTTCATTTTACAGAGTTTCATTTAGCAGTTACCCCTGCACCCTATTTTAGGCAAGGGGTGATCTTTAAATCACCCATGTCACTTTCAGCAGTGTAATTTGAGAAACACACAGAGAAAGTCACAGTAAACATTAAGAGAGGAAAAACCTTCCAAACTGGAAATATAGTTAGAACTGTTAATTAGGCACATCCCTTCTGGGAAAACAACAACAACAAAAAAAACCCCAAAAAATCCCCAAAAGCAAAAAAACCCAAACCTCTCCCTGCTGCAAACCCCAGCTACTGCTTTCATTTAAGACACACTGGGGTATGGCATAAGAGCAGGAGCTCTTACGCTTTTAAAAGCATAGCTTTGGAGGACCACGGATGTCTTATGTGAAAACATGCAAATAAGAAGTCAGTAGATCTAATTTCCTTTTGTTCTTACAAGGTATAGGATTTATTCTCTGTGATAAAGCAGTTATTTTTTCTTACTTCTATGTGCCAAAAAACTCTGAAGAGCCAGAAGCTTGAGACCGGTAACTGAGATCTGTAACTCATACTTGCTTTTAAAAAACTAACACCAATATACCTACCGCGACAAAATGGATGGCAATTCAATCCAGCTTCTTAACAGCTGAAAGTTATATTTTACTTTGAGCATTACATTTTTTTGACTGTCTCCAGTATGCCAGAGCTAGTGTATGCATTATAAAACCACAAATGCAAATCAAAAATTTCTAAGCCGTGACCTGCATTGTTCTGAAAGTTTTCACTCCCCTTACACTTCTGCTGCTTTGCTAAAATGATCCATCACCAACACAACACATTTTTTTCTATGGGGAAACCTACTGCAAGGCTCTCATGAAATTCCCAAAGGGTTATTGCTTTTCAGTGAGCTGAGTTTAAAACCACAGTTCCTTATGGGGAAACAAAGTTAAATTTATTCTTACCATTTTCATCTACAGCAAGTACACTTGCTCCCTTCCCTAAAAGCTCTTGAACTACAACCGTTAGTCCATTCCGAGCAGCAACATGCAGAGGTCTGTGAAGACAAGCAAACTGGTATATAAACCTTAGAACAAGATACTAAGTAAGATAGGTAGCTTGCATCTAGTGAAATGATTATTGAAGTATTTATACTGGTATGTTACTTACACATTATATAAATATTGTAGATATAATATCTAAGATGGGAAAATCAGCAAATCTCTTGTCTTATTGCAAAGAAACTGTACAATAACGATTGTGCACTTTCTTTCTTCTTTTTATGGTACCACACAGTGAGGAAGTAGCTACTGGAAGAGACCTGCCTGCTTATGAACTTTATCACGTTAAAAATTTAGAAACATCTGGTACCTTACTGTTGATAAATCCTTCACTGAACTGTTGTAACATATATCATCACATCTGAGAGTTACTCCATGTCACTGGCAATAACCATTAGAATAGTAACAGCAGAATGGTAGTAATTTTATTGCATGTAAATGCTTAAGAGATGCAGCAGCATTTCATCAATCTGCCTTTTAGAAACCACTATCTTCCACTGTGACTAGAAATGAAAAAATTATTTTACAATATAATGCATAAAGCAGGGAAAACAAATTACTTTTCAAAACCTCAAACTATTAACCATAACCCTGTTTTGCGGTGACTTGATCTATCAAGGAAAGTGTAGCTTTACCTCAAATATTCCAATTATATCTTTTTCAAATGCAACAGTTTTTCAAAATTGGTTCCCACTGGCTTAAATAAAACCCTACCACCACTCAGTAGGAAACAGAATAATCAGCTTACTTCCTTTCTGCTTTATATTGCTCTTCATTCATTTTGAGATTCTTAAAATTGTTTGAATTAACTGTGAACTATATTTTGATCTGGAAACAAGTGCCTGCCTTAGAGACCAAAAATGCAAAAGATAGAATTAGGAGAAGCTGTATCTATGGTGCTTATATTAAAGTATTAAAATTCAAGAACTACTGAACACCACAGAGGTACTGAAAACTGTACTGTAATTAAAATAGAAGCCAACGATTGTAATGCTTATCTTGGCACAAAGTAGTACATTGTTTATGATGAAAGCTGTTTAGAAAGTCAGTTTAGTAATTAAAAACCATTTGCTAAACCAGTAATATTTTAAACAACTTAAAATCTTGAAATTTATATAAACATTTCATGGAGGTGCGAATATGTACCTATTTTTCCCCATGACATCTCTTGATCAGACTATATGAGCCAAGGCATGTGGGTGGAATTAGATGAGCCTGTGGTAGCATACTTTCCTACTTCTGTTCCCATCTCATTTTTGCTTTTCCTCCTCCCAAGATATGCCCACCTTCAAGCCAGAAATGGGGCAATGAATCCCTTTCCTGCTTTCTGGTTATTTCATGCTGCCTGAGGTGCACCATGGTGAGCAGCAAGAGCAGAGGAAGAAGTCTTACTATCTTAACTCCTTAGTTCAAGCAGATCTCTGAGAATAGTTGGAAGAACTGTAGGAATTTGAACGTGACAGATTCCAGAAGGGATGCAAGGCCAGAGAAATACACAAGTTGCTTACAAGTTGCGGTGGTTTTTTTCCTAAATGGTCTGTGAAAGCATTACTCGAGCAGTCTAACAATTCATGTACGTAACTCAGCTACATGTCAGGTGTCAAATATTGCCTATAACACAAATATATTCTTTAAAAGGAAAAACACACAGAAGAGTAATTTTAACAGCCCAACCTGAAATATATTCCCCAGTATGATATACCACTACATTTTTAAGTTTTCCTTATGATTGGGCTAACAAAATAGGCTTAATTCTACTTGAGAGAAGATCTTCAGGAAGCGTTAAGAACACTATATTCTCCATAATATTTAATAGAAAATAGTCTTTCATCCTAGTAGCAATAAGTGTCTTTTCCTAACAGAAAGCATGCTGAAGAATAAAAGCACATTTCAGCTAGGTTTTTTATTAGCTAGCTTTGAAAAGCAAGTCTTAGTTTGCCTCCAATGAGTTGTTAACTGAAGTGAATTTTCATTGAAAAATTAGATAATTTATAAAGCAGAAGAATATTGGTTTATAGGTAATCTCAGCGGATTGCAGTAATTCCACACAGGATTCCCTGAATTGCAATACTGTAAGATTTATTTATCATCCCTTTCACTCAGCTAAAACTAGAACTTTTAAGTATGAACAAAACACCATTTCACTTCAAGTCGGTTAAACTCTTGGTACCTGTTAAGCAATTCAATCAAAATTCAACCAATTTGGAAAAAAATTCTGAAAAATATTCTTCTTTATGGGTAACATACTGGTTTTTGCAGAAACACACCAAAAACTCATCTATAAAACACACTCACTGCTGATACGTACGTTTGCAAGGCTGCGTTGGTGGCATTGATGAGGTTTCTATCTGTAATCTTCTCCAGTATTAACAAGGCACTAGTTTCATGACCCTTAATACAGAACAAACACCTGTCATATAATAATACTCTTCAAAAATCGCTTTGAATGCCTTTTCAAAGTAACAAGTTAATATTTGCAAACAGTGCTTGGTAACACAAAGCTCAGCACCGGTAAATCAGACTACACACACACCTTGCTGCAAGCCAAATGGAGTGCTGTGTTCTTAGAACTGTCTTGCAAAGTCAGATCAGCCTTAGCACTGCTAACCAGCACCTCTGGGGAAATAAAGATTTGTATTAGCTAAAAGCATATTCCTTAAAGTCTTAATGGCTTACATTTGTGCAAAATGAAAACATAATTTTGACAAAATATATCCACAAGAACGTTAAATATAAGGCAACTTTACCCATAGCAAGATTAACAAACTTAAGAGCAGAAATATATAAAGCTTTCTCTTTACCAACTGTATTTGTCTGTCCATTTTCTGCAGCCATCATTAAAGGTGTTTTCCCAGAAGAATCTACAGCATTTACTTGAGCATTGTGACTAAGCAGAAGCTGTAGACACTCAACGTGATCTGTAAAAGCTGCTGCATGAAGAGGAGTTCTACAACAGATCAAAAGACAATATGGCCATGTTCAGCTATGCTTTCTACTTTATTCAAGGGGGCATGCTGACTGTGATCCTGCAGATACAGAAGACTGGGCAGTTCCTGTCGCTGATCCTTTGAAATCAGTATTGGTTGGAGTTGTGACTGCTGCCTTTAGAAAGTCACCTTCAGATTTCAAATAATTCCCTCTATGTTGTTTATAACAGAGATACAATTTGATTCAGAAAAAATAAAATACGCATAAAATACTATCCACGAAGTGATACAATTTAAAACATGCTCAAACTTGCCTATATAATAAAAAGCCAATTCAAGTTTATTGAATCAGAACAGGATTTTTAAAAATCTAAAATTTATTTCTAGCACAGAATAAAAAACTCTTCAAAGAATAAAAACAGAGGGAAGGGGGGAATTAATGTAAGTAGCAAATACAAAACCCCCAAATGATTATAGAATTTAGGAGAGCCACTCTATTACATTACAAACATTGGCCCACTGTGCATTTACACACTTACCTTCCTTTTGAATCTGTTGAATTTACAATACCAGCACCTAGTGTATCAATTAACATTTCTGCAGCACCTTCATTGTCATTTATCCTATAAGGAATTAAACAGGCTGTTATTTACAGAATGATAAATCTTTTGTTAAATACAGCAATGAAATCTATGAAGAATAATTTTGCACTTCCTTACACAGCACAATGCAATGGACTGAAAGAATTTCCTTCCATTTTCTGGAAAACTTCCTGTTCCAGGAGGAGCTCTACACAACTGTCATGACCTAAAGCAAACGTAAAAATTAGGTATTAAAAAAAGGGAAAAGGTCTATTTATGGATTACAACAAAAAATATGTGTCTAAATTAGATTAAGCAATATTTTACTTCAAAAGTTTCAATGACACGCTGGTTATAGTTGATAGGGCGTTTAGGAACTAAGACATTTTTAGAATCCTGAAAATCAAACTGACATTTAACACTGTAAACTTTGTGAAATTTAGAAGGGATCTCATGCTGTCTGAAGAACATCCAGAACACTTAATTTAGTTCTTTACACCTCCACGATTCAAACTTTTCTGTACATTCACCACTTAGTCTACATGAAAACGTCTCCACCATTTGAGGGTTATTATTGTTCCACTGTCTTGCTAAACCAAAAGAAAAACCAAGTCAATAGTCATAACAAAAGCTTAAAAAGAACATGTTCAACCTATAATACTATTATTTTCAAAATTCTATAGCCTGCTGCTGTACAGGTAGCTAACAATTGTAACTATCTGTTTGATCTTTGATGCATATATGCAGAAAACCTTAGTTCAACATTCACTGTTGTCTGAAGATCTGCATTTTTGCAAGTCCTGTCAAATTTTCATTCCACAAATCAAGCATATTTCATATTTCAGTTCTGTTTTATTCAGTGGTCACTCTGAAAATGGAACAAGCTGTAAGAGTTTATTTTTATGAATGTGATAAAGAGATGTTATTCTAGTTCAAATTATCAGTGTATTACCCAGTTGCTTCAGCTGTGAAGACAGTCTAGTTAACTAACTCCTACAACTTAAAAATAATTGGTAAGGTGAAGCTCTAAACCCTTCTTGATCTTTATCATGTGACTCAGAGGTGAAATAAATAAGAACCTCTACTATGTCAGAAAGGAACACACAGAACAAATTCTGTAGCAAAGGAGCTGAATGAGTTTCCTACCTCTTAAGGCCTCCCTCACCCCCAAATCCAAGAAAAGTATCAATGAAGAAAAGGATCAGTGAAGAAAAAAAAAAATTCTTATTGAATCACTTTATATACTTTAGCTTCTTGGGCCTATCAAGGTTGATATGAAGGAAATTTAAAAAAAAGATTTAATCTGAAACCATTCTTCCCAAGACTCCCTGTGAAGGTTATTTTTTTGGGATGTGTGGCACATTTCTATTCACAGGTACTATGCTGAATTTCTTGAAAGACTCCTTGAGGCATAAAACTAAGAAGGCAGTTTATAACAAAAGTGTAGTACAAAAATAAACACCTCATACTATGTATTAGATGTTAATGCATTCCCCCTCAAGATATCATGTCCGTCATATTGTCACATTGACTAAAACGAACTGAAAGAGGACAGACTTTATATGTTGCTTTTATAAGTAGTAATAACTTCTATTTCAATATCAACAAATACATTTAGACCTGTATTTTAACTTTAATGTATTTTACCATTATAGCAGGCCCAATGCAGTGATGTATAGCCCTGATTGTCTGCTATTGCAGGTATTGCATCCACAGATGTAGCTGACTGCAGGAGAGCTCCTAGAACACCTATATGTCCACATGCAGCTGACAAGTGTATAGGGGTTCGCCCCCTACAGTCTCGTAATAAGGACTTAGCACCATGTTGAAGCAATGCTTCCACACATTCCTCATGCCCAGTAACTGCCTGTGAGAGAGAGACAGGAAATAGTAAGTTTGCAAATATTCATGTATATAAGCCAAGGTGTATAACTAAAGCAAACAAACTTCAGGCAATTTCTTACATTTTTGAGTAATAACAAATAAGCACAGTTGTTACTTTTATTCCTGGAAACAGCCATTCTGTTGGAAAAATAGCAATGTATTATCATACTGATGACAGAATAATTTCTTGGAATAACTGCTTGAATGAACTGCTAATCTCTAGGGCTCATTCAATTGTCTTATCTGGCAGAGACTATAAAAAAATATTTGGCATATGGCATGCATCACAGTTTTCTTCCTCCCATTAACACTACCCCCACCCCATAACAAAAAGCTGTACTCCGGGACCTCTCTAGTCAACACTTTACAGCAAGATTAAGAGACTCTAGAAGTCCAAAAGAATTCTGAGCGTACGGAGCAAACAGGCAAAAGCTTGCCTTTTGAAAACAACTAAAAAGACAACAAAAAACTAAGAATGGCAAGATGAGAATAATGAGAAATTAACACTACATATTAAGTCTGTATAGGAAATTAGTATGTATAAAACTGGAAAGGACAGAAAAGGAATATTCTCTTACCCCTCTATGTAATGCCGTCCTTCCCCACTTATCTTTGGCATCTACATTTGCTCCTTTGTTAAGGAGTGAATAAACGCAGTCAGTGTGCCCATTGAGAACTGACAACATCAGAGGAGTCCTAAGCAGAGAGTGAAATAAAGTGTAATCTACATGGAAATTTAACAGACTAGCACTCAGCTGAAATGTAACGACTACTATCCTTCTGGACAACGCTGTTAAAATTTACATCATCAATGATCTTCTCTAGCACTACCTTCACTCTGAGAATACCACTCCTATTTGCTTTTTAGAAAATAAATTAATATCCCCTAATTCAGACGTCCTGATTAAGTTGCTAGAATCAATTTTTTCAGCATCTGGCAATAAGACACATTTTAGTTTCCTCCCAACTGAACAAGAACATTTTTCACTGCCAATATTATGTTTATTGCAAAATACACAGTCTCATTTGTGCTAGTTCAAATATCATCTCCCTTTAAAGTAATAAATTAAAAATCACCAATGTAAAATATTTAGTTTTTCCTTTTATAAAATGCAGTAACTTGTGAAGAACAGAATTGTGCATTGTTTAAACTCACTGTCCATTTCCATCTTGAATGTCCACTGCATTCTGTGGTTCTGCATTTCCTATCAATAGCCGCAAACATTCTGAGTGACCATTTGTAGCTGTAAAACATCATAAAAATACGAGTTTTACCTTAATTGCCTTTGAGTATACAGCTCAAACAGAACCATAACCTGCTCAGACTAAAGCCTGTTTACCTTGAGAACCCACTGTGCAGCTTTACCATTGTTATAACTTAAATTAAAAACAAAAAATGTGAACACTAGAAAATGATTTCAGAAATTAGGTATTCTCAACTGTATAGTATTAAAAGTAATCGATTCCAACTGTCAATTGCCAACAGGTATTTGTTTTTTACATATAAATGAGGTTGCAAACATTAACCATAATTAGAATATATGCTTATACAACATCCACAAGGAGGAATAATTAAATATAGTCATTAGCATAACTTTTGCTTGTTTTAAGGCACAGGTAAACACACACCTAGCCAATCATACACAGATTTTTTTTAGCAAGTCTGGCACGTGCACAATTATGAAATGATAATTTAAATCACATTTAGAAAGAAGGGAAGGAAATGTAATGCATAAAAGTAATTAACCAACCAGTTAAAAAAAAGGAAAAAGAGAAGAAACAAAAAATTGAGACATCACATTTAAATGCAACTCATGAAAGATAAATGATTGCTTGTTGGAGGGGAAATTATTTCTGACATACAGCTGCTGTATTCAGTCCACATAAGAACAGTAACAATTCCTGCTTCTGTAGAGGACAGAAATGCTAACAGAAGTTAGGAGAAGCTAAATCAAATAGAAGAATACAGCTTGTGCTCGTGGACAACAAATTAAGTGGTTAGAATGATAATGTTTTGTACATAATGCTGTTTTTACTGCAACATTTCTATAACACCATAACTATAAATGACAATTTAAGGCAGCCTATTTTCAAAGAGAGGAAAATACAAGAATATACTACGAATGCTAGACTTTGAAAAAGGTAGGTTTATAGAAGTTTTCTAGGAAAGGCAGCGACAAAATATTGCAAAGGATTGCTGTTATTTTGAAAACACTCAGGAGTCATTTAAATCCTTGGAAAAAAACCAAAGTATAGTTTTCATGTCTCTTCTCAAACTGAGAAAATTCTCCAAGACTCCAGTCATTTTTAGAAGTATTTTCCTGCCAAGACAGGCAACACAATTCACGTATCTAAATTTGGGCCTACAGTTTGGGCTGCATGAAAGACGAGGAGAGGAAGAGGAACATGTCACTGACACCTGTCAGCACAGCTAGCCTAGCTAGTTGAATGGACAAGGACAATGCACCCTTCCAGAGAGCAGTGTGGAACAGCACTCCTAGAGCCGAAATGATTTATTGGGTTAATACCACCTTCTACCCGCAACTGCTTTGTACACCATTCTCAGCATACCATGTACCTTAAAAGCCATCGTCTATTCCTAAACACCATTTCTTAGAACATTAATCATAGAGACTTCTAAACACGAAGATGATCCACTTCAAAACCAAAAAGCTTAGAAGTTAGCGGTTAGCACATACCTGCAGCATGTATTGGGGTCCTCTTCACAACATAATCTTTCACCAAGATTGATGCTCCCTGATTAATGAGCACATCTACACATTCCACGTGTCCTTTAAAGGCAGCAAGATCCAATGGTGTCCTTCCATTATTATTCCTCACATCAAGGTCCAGCAGTGACTGTACCAACACTTCCAGAGCTTGATGGTGGCCATGATAGGCCTACAAGAGTAAGAAAATTTTTCAGTTTTCCCACCCTTCACATTTTTCCCTTTCTTACCAGGATTACGTAAACGAAACTGTGAAGATAGTATTTTCGGTTTAACACGTGGAAGAGCTACTGATGCAGCACATAAGTAGTTACAATAGTTACGACTAATTTAAAAACCCCCACAATTTCAAGCAAGAAGCTTGGTGAGTTTTTTCCAATTTATTCTTTCAGTCAGCAACTGAAACTACTTTCAGAAAATTGTCGTCTCCAATTTGTGTAACTACCAGTATTTTGAATACTTCATGTTTCATTGCTTCATGTTATAGTTACATCACCCTCAGATTATTTCAAATGAGGAACATATGCAAACTATTTAAAAAAGAAAAAGCCAGTAAAATTTGTAAGTAAAAAGAATACAGTACAAATAGCTACAGTTAACATAACTGGTACACAGAAGGGACTTAGGGGATGAAACAGTTAAGAGATCAGAATGGATATACAAGGATGAAAAAATAGCATAGAGAATACTCTGCAGGTATGTGTCAAGACAAAATATCAAAGTCAGTAATGAAAATAAACATCCACAACTATGGTTTTATAATTTCCATAATAAATTTTTAATGTATACTCATGGATACATAACCTCTTCCCCCAGACAAAACTCATTTCCAGGAACACTCTCTTCTAACTGCTTTCATTTACCAGTATTAAAGATGACTTTTTACTTTGGCCATCTCTCTCTCTCTCTCTCTCCCTCCCCCCCCTGTATAAGACAGCCTATTTTCAGAAAGTACGTTGTGGTTTTTCAATTGCTCAAAGTCCAGTTAAAAGATGTAAGCTACGTATTGAGCTGGTTACTCTGTATTTTGAATATATTCGTATAAACAGTTTCATCAGGTCCTCTCCTACGCTACTCTTTGTGCAAATCTTTCTTGAACTATTAAGGACAAACATTTCTCATACTAAACAATGATGAGGGTGAAACGATGATAATAAAAAAAAGTGATCATTACTTATAGAACAAGTCTTCTAAAAATTTCAATAGTATAAATTATAACATAAATCTTAATTAGAAGATTCCAAATGAAAGGTGTTACATGAAGCAAGTTTCAAGTGAAATAAAAATCGCCCTGTATAGCTCATTCGGGAATATTATGTACGTATTTTTGTGTTTCGTTTATTGTTATTGACCTATTTTAAAACAATCCAGAATGAATAAACCTATGTCAACAACTGTTTGCAATTAGATGAGCTATCATCACTAAAGAATGAAATACTTACAGCTAAATGCAGTGGACTTATAGGTGCTCTGTTGTCCGAATCATTCAGCATGTCAGTACCTGATGTTTCCATTAGCTTAGCAGAGAGAGAAAGTCAGAGTGAGTGCAAAACCCCCTCACCTTTAAAAACATTCAGCAATAATTGCTACAGTTTCCAGTATAGACAGATTGAAAAATAAAGGAAGAAAAATAGGAAGAATAATAATACAGGATTATAGTTTACTTAGGAATTCTAGATCTCCTTCAACCTTTTAAAGAGTTTGAATTGCAATGACTGCAACCCCTCTCCCATATTCATCTCCCAAGCACAGTTGTTTAACTTTCCATAACAATGCAATAATTAAATCAGAAACTAATGTAAAAATTTTTTTTTTCATGAAGCAGCCATATGAAATAATATAGATGAAATGCATACAAAGGGAGGACAAAGACAGGTGAGAACAGCTGTAGTAGGAAAAAAAAATTCCCACCGAACAAACAAGTAAGCATTTAGATTAGGTGAAAAGTCCGCAAGAAAACGATAGATTTCTCAGAACAGGAAAACATTTCCCAAAGAGAAGAAATGGACCCAAAAAAGGCATAAGCATTATAAAACAGGATTAAAATACCTATCTGTATACATTTCTATTTGTTACTTTCAGATGTATTCTAAGGTTTTATTCTTTTTCAAGACCATATTTAATTTAGTACACTAGTAGAATTAAAACATTCGAAGTGTTAGAAGAACACCAAATACATTCAGATCACTAAATTTTCACTATCACACTTTTATAACATGGTCAGACAAATGTTTAAGTAAAAAAAAAGGCTTGAAAAATAATTTTCTATTTTAAAATTCTGAATTGAAATTAATCTAAATCGCAATTGAAATTATACATCTATGCATTGAAGAAATGGTTGAATAAGTCTAAAAATAAGCAGTATTTTTAAAATCACGTTCCCTTTTGCTGTACAGTAGTACTTTAACAGTGAGAAATAATACACTTACAACATCTAGAGGTGTTTCGCTTGCAATCTGCAATTAAAAACATTCAGAATTCATGTTTGAATACATTTGAATATAAAAGTATAATTTGTATAAAAATACTAAGTTGTGTAACACAGAGAAGATAAAATTAGCATATCAAATAACATACACATTTTTGCAAAGGGATTAATAAAAAACTAGCTGAGGCTTTATTATCTAAAATTCTATTATGTGGCTGTTAGTTACTGTAACTATGTGAACTATTTTAAAAGGCACCCTTACTTTACAAGTTTTTCCTACATTTTAATTTGCTCCTTCAGATGACATTTGTGATATGTCTTAACACTTCTCAGTGGGGTAACCTGTGGTTATTTTATTCCAGCCATCAGGAAAAAATTTAGCAGTGTATTCTAAGTTAAAACAAAACTAATACCCCACATCCTCAACCAGTTATCTCTTCATCTCAGAATGTATTATCTTTTTAAGCCAGTATCTACCATCTTAGCTCCTCACCTTGCCCCTGTTTTAAGAATACCAAGTGCTTAAATATTCATCCTGACAGGGGCTGAAAAACACTATTGACCTAGCTTACAGATGAAGAACCAAGGTGGAGGAATCCCCTAGCCTCTGCATCATACGCTGTAAGAGCAGCTGTTATAGGTTTCATCTATGATACATTTTCTTACCAATTCAAGACATAAGCGATGACCATAAGCAGCTGAATAATGAACTGCATTGTATCCTTGTTTGTCTCGGATCCCGGGATTGGCATCATTTCTTAGCAAGTATTCCAGGCACCTATTTAAATTGACATATGCAACCATATATCTAAATGTTGAATTTCAACTTTACACTAAGTGATAAATTGTTCCAATTCAATTGGAAAACAGAATACAGCACACAGGAACACTGATTTAACGTACAATATTGGCTAGGACTAGAGAACACCTAACTCATTACACCAAGTGTTAAGGTCAAAAGCTTCTAAAATTTGGAAGAATCCTTCTCTGCAGACATCCTGCATCCTCTGAATTATCTGACTTGGTTAAAACTAGTATTTCATGGCTATTTTCCTCCTAACTAATACAACTAACTTTCCTACTCCTAATACAACGGCAGTTACCTTTGTTAATATAAATGATTACTATTTTTGTATGTTTTTCTGTATCAGTACATTCTTCTGTACTTCATACAGAAGGAAGAGAACCAATAGCTGAGTTCTTCATGGTATGCATCCAAGAGTCACACACACATACACTTCCACTATCAGACACTCATTTATTGATTTTTTTATATAGTAAACATACTTAGTTGTTGGCATACTTGTATCCTACCATTCCTTATACAAAGTTATAAGGCAGAACATGATTAGCACAGTTTCAACCACAGACACTGAGCCAGGAGGACGAAAAATAGGGTATTAAAGTCAGCTCCCTCTCCCTATTTTTCTGTTTTTAAGAGACTCCATGCGTGCACACTAACTGATTCCAACAAATAACCCTACTTATTCATAATTTTATGTTGGCTACCATTTCAGCAACATTTTGCAAAGCCTACAAATAATGAGAATGAGAACTCTAAAGCAGTAGCCATGAGAGAATGAAGGGGTAAATTGATCTAGACTGAACTACCTGACACATAACAATCTCAGCTTCAAGAGCTTCAGGATAACAGGATAAAGACTGGTGAGAAACGAACAGTCCCAGAATAACATCAGGTTATTTTGCAAATGTATTCATGAGACTATAAGAGCCCACAAACATCCACATAGACACTGAGCAAGATCAAGATTGTACAGAGCCTCCAAAATTCTGAATTAATAGAATAGGAAAGGAGGAGAGATTTTAGATTTCTTATTGACAGATTAAGATGATTCTGGTACTTAATTCGTCTCAGTTTGCTCAAACAGTTAGGATTATGAAGGTCTCCTCATGTCCTACCTTAAGCAGAACCTTCAGGATTTGAGAAATTGCACATACCATTTTACCTGATAACAGAACCAAGACTGCGTCTAATTCATAAGACTACCTGACTTGAGAACAGAACATCTGGTACTTCACAAAAGGCAGATGGACTTCAGATCCTTGGATCTGATCTCCCAGTCTGGGTTCACCAAAGCCGAATTGATTCAAAACCATCTGCTAGTATACTGAATGGCTGGATCATTTGCTTCCAGCAGGAGAAAAAAAAAAGACTTCATGAAATCCCACTTGTCAACACTGCACATTGTGATTAGATTGTCTGTTGAGACCTGGGCACAATATTTTTGAAGAGAAGATCAGAAAGCTTTGCATGTGTTCTACACAGCTCTGAGCTCAAGAACACTGATATGAAACGGTTGGTCCTTTTGCCCTGAGATATCCACAAGTGCATTTTCACAAGTGCTCTCTGCCTATAAAGGATCATCTATTATGATAGAGCAAAATGAAGAATGGAATGGGTAGGTCTTCTGACCACTGAAGGACTGCCTGACCATTCAGGAAAGGACCACCAAGCAGCTAGGGTAACATCCATCCCAGATTTGTAAGTCTTGTGAAGTATACTGTGAAGCTACATGACTAAAACACAGGTAAGACATCACTGAGGTAGCAGTCGTACATTCAAATGCAATCATCTCTCTTACGACTTGGAACACATCCTGCAATAGAAGGGCTTTCTAAAGACTGAACTAGAGCTAAACAAAATCTGGGAGGTGAAAGTCTAAAGATGCCCAACCTCTGCATGGCCACTTCATCAGGCAGAAGTCCAGCAAGGAAGAGTGACATTCCAATCCTTCTAAAATGGGTTGTTACAACTGTTGGTTTAGGACTGTTTATTGTTCCTGTGGCAAACCCAGACAGGAGAACCTTGCATTGATAATAGTCCAGGAACATCTTTAAGTGAAGCTACTTTGTACACAACACATACTTTATATTATAGTTGGAAAGATTAATTCTGTAGGTCAAGAAGCACAAAGAGATGCCCTTGGAATGCAGAGATGTTTATAGCTAGTCACCATCATGACCTTGAACTTACTGGAGAAGTCATATGGTTTTCTGAAGTGTACAACAGGTCACCATCCCTTCTTCTCTCTGGGATTATGAAATACTTCTCCTTTCTCAGTTAAATAAAATGCAAGTAAAGCTAAAAAAATATATTATCTTGTCAAATCCAGCTTGGAATCTTTCTTCCTTAGCACAGTTTATCTAAAGATCTCACAAATTAGCATTATCGTAGTGACAAATGGGTCAGTTGGATACACTGACAATATGAGGGGTTTAGTTCCCATTTATCTCATGGGAAATTGTTTGGCAGAAAGTTAAAGGAAATTTCAACGTTTGTAGTTGTATGATATGGCTATGCTGTGATGTCATGTGAAAACTTGCAGTGGGATATGGCAGGTTTAGATTTGAGAGGCAGGAATCCTAACCTCTAATCAATGCCATTAAGAGTAGAAACTTGATCATTCAAAACCCTGGAGAACATTCAAACCTTGGAGAAATACAGGCAGAAATTCTACAAAAGCAGCCATCTCCTGAGGGAAGACAGCATGACCCTGCAACATCAGAACTCTTCATAAGTTCTTTCAAGGAAGGGCACTGTTCCATTTGCTGACTCCAGGCAAGTTCATAATCTGAATGAGATCCAGTACCAGCTGTGATGAAATGGAAACACATTTCAACATGAGTAAGACAGCTGTACTGGGTCAAGGGCCCAATAACCTCACGTGCAACAACAGCGATTTGCTGAAGTGAAGACCTGACATTTGCTTTTCCATCCCAGACAAAGGTTGAAAGTAACAAACCAGGTGAGTGAAGATGAAAGGGGCAAAAAGCTGTAGGAAAAACTATGAACAAGGAGGTGCCTAATTACGAAGTACTCTGTCTCATTACAAAGTTGAGAAGAACAGGAGCGACACCAAGGTGCACTCTCGCTTACCAAGTTCAGTGTATCTAACAAAAAGCTACCTGTAAAGCATATCTACAGTTTTAACCAACTAATTTGGGTTTTATTTGCCTAGTAAACAAATGCCTGGATTTCATTAATGGCAACCGTGCTTGCATGTTTTTATTTGAATTGAAACAGGATGAGATTTCTGAGAATCTAAAGACAAGTCAATTTGTCCCATTGAGTAAGAATTACTGTCCCTATATTTTATGTGTCCAATTGTCTAACTTCCTTTGTTAATTTTAATCAATGAGTTTTTATTAACATTCATAGCTCATTAATAAATGTTAAACATCACTGGCCTTGTCTATCTAAATTTCTATACTTGTGTGCTCACTGTATCTGTGTGCTCACAAAAAACACAATACACTAAATACACTGCAGGAAGCAAAGTCTACTAAAAATCCTTGAATACCCATTCTTTCCAATGCAAAACATAATTATTTTTGCTGTTTGTTCTCATCCAGGAAAGAGATTAACTTAGCATCTTTTGCATACTTAACTGTCCTCAACAGGCCTCTTTAAAAGGAGATTAATCAAACTTTCTGAAAGCCCAGATAAGTTAAATTTATTTCCCATTTATTTATTGGTGTACTGTCTATTAAATAATTCTAATAGAAAGAGCATGTTTTTTCTCCCTTAAGATGCTGCTTTGTTCATCTCATTCTGCGATCATGTTTCTCTGTCTAGTCTTGTCAAAATGAGCTTACTGGTGTTTGTTCCAGATCAGAAGCATTTGAAAAAGATAGAAAAGAAACATTTCCAAACAGGAACAAACAGGAAAATAATTTTCAACAAAAACATCTTTGTCCCTGAAATGTGTCTTTAAAGATGTCTGAACAAAGACTATAAAAATGCGCATAAATATCTTTGGAATTTCTATATAGATCATTTCCTGACTTTTTTTTTTCCCAGGCTTTATATTCCAACTCAGTAATCATTTTTAGCTTCATTCCTATTTTGAATCTGAGCTGAGCAGTATTGGTTTTCCAGCTGTTACTAATCATCTTGCTGCATCAATATAAAAAGCTTCTCCTCAGGCCATTCTGCTTTGCAGCCTGTCTTCCAGAGAGCCAACTGTTAATCAGAAGGGCAGTATCACGTGGGTTCCAGAGATGATTCTTTGAGTTATCTCCCACAGCTCTGCAGTATTGCTATCATCATTCTTGCTCGTGCCTTTTATAAGACAGATGGCAAAACGATGTCATCTGAAGAACCATTATAGTTTGGAGGTTTTCAGAGCAACTGTGAAGCTAAAATTAATCCTAGCTCAACTTGTAAGAGGGCAATTAAAGTAAAACTATCTCAGCAAACTAAAGTGTATCTAAAAAGCGGCAGACAATTTTGTTTTGAAATTTGGCTTTACATAAAAAAGGCATGTACTTTAAATATTAGTTAAATGGCCATGAAAGTATTCTTTATTTATCCTTCAAAACCCAATCTGTAAGTTACATGCCACCTCGTTTCTACTGCTACCTCACCTTTTAAAAGGTGCTGTATTAAAACAAGGTGATACATCACTCTGCAGCACTCTTTTCCAGTGAAATGCGAAATTGCACACCCGCTTGTTTTGACCTGTCTATGTGAGTGTGTGCACATGGAAGTGGTACTCTTCTCAAGTCTCCTCAATATATACAATGTCTGGAGCGTAAGTAACCTCATCAATTTTGTGCTATCTATATGAGCTTTACATGTAAGCATTTAAGTCATTAATAACTATGTTAAATATAACCATTAGTTACAAAATAAACACACACAAGAGACATTTATGGATTTATGTAAGTTTCTGGATGCAGTTCATTAATAAAAATGTAACTACTTCACAAAAATTTACACTAACAAGAGGTAGAGTTGTAATGCCAAACATGAATAGTTTAATCAACGCCAAATGGATAATGCATCTTATATTGAAACGTTGAGTTAATTTCTATCCTGATGTAGTCCTGCTGTAACTCACGGTCTAGTTTTACAGTGTATTTCTGAGTAGCTACACAGATTTTTGGGCAACATTAAGAACCCTCCATAAAACACGCCATCCTTCATCAGAATTTGATTTTAAAGCAAAATGACCCTACCGCTCACAACTGTCATAATAACCCCCACAAACAATATTTACTCAACCACTACGCAGCAGGTGGGATTAAAAACTATTTCCAATGAATTCCTGAATTAGGACACCTGCATTATAGGACATAACAAAAAAATTACAATACATTTTACTACTGTTCATTTTTCTCAGAAATATTTTAACATAAAATATTTTATATACAATAAACAAGCCCCTGTCAAGTTTAATCTTTAAAAATATAAAAAATGCATTTGGCACATCTGAAGGCAGAACATACATGAAATTCACAGCTCAAATGTTTCTAAGGAGAAAAGCTTTAGTACAAAGCATGCCACTTACTTTCCATCTGTGTCTGATGCAGCTGCATAGTGCAGAGGTGTACAACCCCTCTCATCAAGGTCATTCACACTAGCTCCAGATCCCACAAGGGCAAACAGGCACTGATAATTACAATTGGCAGCAGCATAATGGAGTGGAGTTCTTTAGTACACATTTAAATAGAAAGTACAATGGTAAATAACAACAAAATAATATTATAGAGACAGAAAAAGCAAAATAAAATGAAACTTAAATCCTCCTTACATTTTTTAACAAGTATTTATGGTGAAGAATGCATCATTACAATATTAAAAGGTGGGGCCATTTTCTAGGGGCCATTTCATAATGCAGAACAATATCTAGGGGATCTATTTGCCAGACAAAATATGCACAAACTTTGTCTTAAGGGAAGCTTTATATGAATTTTCTTGTGTAAACATATCAAGGAGAATCAAGTTCACATTTGAAATATTAATTTTAGTTAAGTAATTTCAAGCCACACGGAAAATCATAGAATCATTAAGGTTGGAAAAGACCTCTAAGATCATCCAGTCCAAGCGTCAACCCAACACCACCATGCCCACTAAACCATGTCCCTGAGTGCCTCATCTACACGTCTTTTAAACACTTCCAGGGATGGTGACTCAACCACTTCCCTGGGCAGCCTGTTCCAATGTTTAACCACTCTTTCAGTGAAGAAATTTTTCCTAATGTCCAAATGGACAAATCTAAGAACTGCACAGCAACTAAACAAGGTCAAAATAAAATACAACAATTAACAAGTAGATGTTTTCGACAAACAGATCAGAATTTTGTCTAAGAGAGGCAAGCATTATTTATTTATTTTTAACTATACTAAAATAGCAGAGGTATTGTTAAAGAAAACTTTTAAAAATATACCTTGTCTTTTTATAACAAATCCGTGAAATATTAGTACTGAGGTACAATCTCAGAGGAAACTTATTCCAGCTTCAAATACATGAACAATACTCTAAATAAACCAGTTCGGATAAAATTTCAAAAGCACCAAGATGACTCAGAATTCCATTTTCTATTTTTAAAAAGAGATTGCTACTATAAATATCTCAATTTTGAGGAGACAGTCAGGCACTTTAAAGTGTCCTACCTCTTCCTCTCCCTTAAAATTACTTTTCCCCATTTTTAACTATTTTAATTTTTTCCCTCGCCTGAAATAATTGCTCTATATAACATGCACGTTAAACCAAAAACCAAACCAAACCAACAAAAAACAACTTTCAATGACAAAAGTTGTGAGGGATAGTTGTTCCTTCCTCAGGAAAGACTGGAAGTGGAATTTAAGGCAAAACACAACTTTGAATCCATAATATTCTCCTCAAGTCCTACTCCTGCCCTCCACATCCTGGAAAATCATATTTTCCATGATGTGATGTGAGATTTTACACAAGTACTGATCATGCCATCTAAACTTAAATAATCTTATACTAAAAATAGAAATTAATGTCATTCCGAAAGAGTTCAGAGCACGAACAAGGAAACAGAAAGGGATGGATATAATGAAAGGAAAAAGATGAGGCAGTTATAATAAAATAATGGATTTTTTTAAATAAAAAAAGCTTAGAAATAGCAACAGATTTATAGGTTTGACTAATACATTATTTGGAAAACATCACTAATGTCCTTGGATGAGAGAGCAATTTAGAGTCATTAGACCCATGTTATAAGCAAAAGTGTCTCATAAAAATTACAGTTGAATATGGAACTCACTCTTGAAAAACAAGGCTAAACACCTACTTAACAAAACACAATAAACAAAATATGTTTGTAACCTTTGATAACATATGGTGAAGCATAGTTTATTAGAGACACTGTATCTTAAAAACCATTTAAACTGGAACGCACAGACTTGCCCACATAGCAATATGCTACTTCTGTAATACTTTTAACAGCCCTTTACAATATACAAATCTAGAATGTCTTACCTCCCAAACCTGTCTTTTTTGTTGAAGTCTGCACCAGTATTTAGCAGAAGATTTAGGCACTCCAAATTCCTATTAAATTAATGCAATATTACTTGTGATTGCAAATTTTATTTCCTTACTGTTGGCCTCTGCAAATACCAGAATGGCTACACATATACGTCTCATACATTACTTTTAATTGAACTGAACTATGATATGAAAATTTTGATAAATATATTTTTATATGTGAAATAGGTTTCATAATTGCAGGACCAAAACCAGGAAAGAATACAAATTATTTCAAGTCCACATACAGAAATTTTATTGATATCAAATGGCATGCATAAAAGCACATAAATTAGCACTAACTTAATTTAATAGAAATTTCAATTCTTTAAAGCAAACAAACAATAACACCTGCATGTCACATGCTTTTTGCTACCAGGATTTCACCACAGAGGCAAGTTTTTAATCTCTATTTTTAAGGCCAAATATAAGTTGCAACATAAATATTTTACTTTTTAGTGTAATTCATTTTCAATAAAATATGATCATTATAATAGATGTACAATGCTGCTTATAGTTTAAACACTATCTTAGTAACTTTCCTAAACTGGAGATGAATGAGGGAATGTGTCACAAATTATATGTTTTTATATGAAAAGATAGCATTTTAACCTTAATCATTTGCAACAAGGATGTATCTATTAAGTATCTTTTGACTTAGAATGATTACTTAACAGTATTACTTAAACAACATTGAAACAGAAAGATGAAAATATCAATATCATGGAGCTCTTGTGTCCCACAAAGTGTATCATGAAATTTATTACCCAATTCTTCCAGGCAATTTTGAGTAGCTGCTATAGAAAACCTACAATACAATAACAATAATCAATATGGATCACAACTCAAGTGATGAGCAAGTAGTTCTGACTACTTCATCCACCTAAACTCTGGAATTTAATTATGGCTTTTAATTTAGTTAGATTGATCTTTTGTTTATGGATACGGTAAAAACATATTTCCCAAAGTTGCTGTTCTCCATCTCATGTCCTACAGTGATCTTAGCTGGGCATGCCATCTTTGAATGCTGTAAATTCTAAAAATTATATCATCATCCATGGGAATTTAAAATAAAATTCAGTTCATCCCCAAGCATAAACCTAAGGTAAGGCTGATTATACTTGGACACTGTACTCCAATAATTACTTATTGAGCTGAAAATTTAATTTATTTTTATTGTTTGTAGATAGAATCAATCTTGAAATTATTTTCATGTTTACATAAATTCCAAGGGGAGAGGGCAGGAAAAGCAGAGAGAAGAAATAACAAAAAAGAATAGGAATGATCAACAATTGAAAAAAGAACACTAAATATGAAAGCATGAATGCTTTTTTACATACCCTCCAGCTGCAGCTGCATGAAGACAAGTCCTGCCAAAGTCATCTGGTGTGTCAATGTCAAAACCTACAAATCAAGTATTTTGTAAAATCATCATGTAACACCACCTTTCACAAAACTGCTCTCATCTACTCTTAAGAGAAATGCTTGCTAAGCAAACTTAACAGCTATTTGCAAAAAAGCACTGAAGCACTGAAAGTTTACTTCACTTGAAACACATCCTTACTATTTGTAATATTTTTAAAAACAGGTGTTCAAGTAAAACTGAAAGGGATAAGGTAAAAGACAATTAGCTGCACTGAGGCAAGAGGCTATATTCTTTCCTATCCTATTTGCCTGCTAATATTTCTGTGTAATTTAGTATTGAATATAAAATATATGAAGGTAATAGGAAAATTTAAGAATATGCTAGAATTTATCAGTGTTACGCAGAGATTTCTTTCTTTTTTTTTTTTTAATAAAAAGGGGGATGTCAGCATTACTAAATCCAGAAGCTACTTAAATTTCATCCTTGAGTTCAGCTCTTTAGTCCCAGAGAAAGAACTTTGTTAAGCCGGAGTGAAGGCTGTAAACAGCAATTACTTACAGAGGAGCCCTTTAGACAACATTGTCGTTTTCTCTTCCCAAAATGTGCGAACTTCAAATTCGAGATCACAAACTTTAACTGTGCAATTCCATATCTAACCATATACTTTGACATGAAGATTACTATTTAAACCAGGTTTCAAAGCTACATTTTTAGTTTGAGAAAGCTACTATATTCTCCTAAGAGTCTTGCTCTTGTGTAACAAAACTTATTCATTAAATGTCCAGTTTTGGTACTTTTGCCTGGGAATGCAACTTTTTTTTTTCCTTTTTAAGAATTATTCAACGACGATAAATAGTGAACAGCACAGGATGTGTTATTCAGGAGTACTACTATTCAAGATTGTTTTCCTACTCTGTATCCCCCAAAACATAGGTTTTGTATGCGCCACTATGTCCTCCTCCCATTTCAATAGTCAGTGATATACAGCAAATAATTTAAGATAGTTTACCAATCTGATTGAGAAGTAGTCTTTGATGTCTTTCCACATCCCTAGGTAGCTTGTCTAACAGCAGTAACTACTTAAATGTCATTCAGTACTGGGACAGGGCAGATTGATGATTTTTTAAGGTCTGCACATGAATATTAATGAATTTTAAAATCAGAGATTCTTAATTTACATAAATGGGACTCTTCCTCCCTAAACAAAAAGGGCACATAGTCTGCAGATACCATCCCCACATCCAGAGCATGTACTAATAAGCTGTTAGCAGTATCTAGTCTTTCCAGCCTGAAGGCTGAATATACTCTTCAAATCCTTATCTGCTCCAGGCTAGATTAACACCCAAGTTTTCTCAACTCATGTAAAAGTCACAGAAATCACTTGCAAGTCTTCCCCATGGATTCCTTTGCCATACTGATCTCCAGTAAGGGCACAGCCAGCACAGCACCATGTACAGAAAGGAGAAAGAGCCAGAGTATTTCTCATTTTGAACACATCCAATTGATATCTAGTCAACTATAGGACAGCTCTTTCCTGGAGCAAATCCTTGCAAGCTTGTCCATGACAGGACAGTGAAATAAAAAGCCTTACTGGTGGTAGTTTTAGTTATACTCCTTTAGTTCTTCTCCCAGGCTTCCCTAGAAGACAATATAAAGCTGGGGAAGCAACTTCTTACTCTTTCTTTTCCCCAACCCTCTGCCCCCCACTTTTCTTTTTTCAAAAAACATGAAGTGCCTTCAGATTAATATAGAACCATTTAGTTTCTTCTTCTTCTTCTTCTATTCCTGAAGCTTCCACAATCCTTCAGACAAATCTACTTTCTCAGAATTGCAATGGTTCAAAGAGCTCAGAATTCACACCAGAACAGACTCTGGACAACAAGGGACGTAATAACCTTACAATCCTCCGCAACTTCAGGGAGGAATTAAACAATGAAAGCAAAGCGCAGTTCAGGTTGCATTTAATTAACAATAAACCACCAATTCAACAGTTTCTTAATGTAGCAGTCCACAGAGTCTTCAGAGCTATTAGGTGCCCAGGAACAGATAGGAATAGACCAATCTGTATTAAGCTAAAGACATCATGGAAGGGAAACGGAAGATGCTCCACGAAGTCATTTAAGAGAATGTTAGTCTTTCTCCTGAAGTTGCATTATGGTCTGAACCAGTCATCCAACCTCTATGGCCAACTTAAAACGCACAAACACAACATTTAAAAAGTTACAGATGCATTATTTCAATATGGATGATTTTTTTTTTTTTTTTAAAATTATTTCCATAGGAGTTTGCATGCACTTTAACTATGGTCTGTCCATTAAAAAAACAAGCACTGGCCCCAGGCTACTAGTCAACTAGAAAGATTTTTATGTATTACTAAATTAAGACTTAATTAAAAGCTATTTTATGGAACCAAAAATGAAGTACAAAGCAGCCATAAGATTTTAAAGAGTATCCTACCTGATGAGAGGAGCTTTCTGCAGCAGTCTGAAAATCCACTTAATGCTGCCAAATGGAGAGGAAACATCCCATGTATACCCCGCCTAAGATACACCATAATCAGGTATCACAGTTTCATTACAATTAAAATAAAACAAACACGATTGTGTGCCAAAGTGCACGTGCATGGTGGTTCAGCAAACCACCTAATTAGAATACTGAGCCTTAGGAAAACTTCATATATTAAATGCTTTCTTACAAGCGAGCAGGATGCATTAAGTCAGTGCAACAGCCTATTAAAACTTTCAGAGCTTTTACTTCAAATACATTAGAAGAAATCTATTTCTCTTCCTTTTTGTACAAATTGTGATGTACTGAGTAGCTACTTAAAAGTACAGTACAGGATAATAAACAAAGTATTTCCTATTTCAAGTTGAAGATGATATTAAAAAAAAAATCATACTAGTCTTGTTAATCTAATAAATACATTTCTAAATTCTCTCAGCTTGCATTCATGTCAGTAAAGTTACCTACTTTGCAGTGTCAGCACCACTCGTAATCAGAGTGTTGATTAATAGCTCATGGCCATATCTAGCTGCTATGTGCAAAGGAGTATTTCCATTCTTATCTTCACAGTCTATTTCAGCTCCTATAATAAAAAGTAATTACTAAGTAAGAACATATGTAAGCATACAGATACTTTTGTCAGACAAACAGCACTGATGATAATTAAAGCAACATTAGTAATTGTCAATGAATGACTACTTTGGATTTAAAATCTATACAGCTTTCAGCGGTATTTAGTATTAATAATAAGCAAAATAGAGAGAAGCATTTTATTATGTAACCATATGGGACAAACTTTCTGCAACCTGGGTTATGGAAGAGAAATTAATGTATTTTCCTGCATTCTGAAAAATAAATGGTTCTTCAATGTAACTTATCAAACTTTATAAGCAGATATGCCAGACTCCACCATTAACTGAACTACTACTGGACATTGGATATGAAAAAAAATTCAGTACATTGTTATCAATACAACAGGAGGAAAATATTCATAATACTGGAAAGCTGATGACAAAACTACTCCTCCCTCCCCCTTTTTACCATTTTGAATGATGGTTTGAGATCTTGAAAATCTACCATGGATTGCTGTCATGTGCAAAGGTGTTTTCCCATCTTTACTCTGGAAAAGAAAAAAAAAACCCAATGTTTACTTATGGCCAGTAATAGTAATCCACCAGAACTAACAAAAAAAAAAAGAAAAAGGACATTCTTTTACTTTGTTCTCTCCCCTCTACTCCCTCCTTTAAATTGTTTCTATGCACTTCTGCAAGACGGATGCTGGCAGTGACAAGTCAGCATGACATGGAAAGGTTTTCAAAAGAGCTACTCTTAATCAGTCTTCCAGCTGTGAGTGATAACTCAGTGATGCCCACTCACTCACAGTAATGCCTTTAGGATAATCACTCTTAAGAGGATGATGACAGCGCACAACTTTAGCAACAAGCCTATATCCAACTCTTCCCCTGCCCAAGTCTAAAACAAAACAATTTAAATTAAGGGTGTTTCTTGAAATAGCTGTATTTACTGTAGAGGTTTACACATTATATTATAAGACAACACATTAAAAAGGTCATGTGTTTCATGGAAATTTCCGTAAAGTGATATTTGTAAGCAATTTATCATAAACCACAAGTAATCCTAGGGTAGAACTATTCAACCATAATTGGTACTATACATTTGACACACATATCAAATGTGCACTTAGTCATTCACCCAATAAAGATGTCCTTCAACTAGGCCAACAGTAACGCATAAAGGAATTTCAATTTTTAATAGCACAATCTCAATGCACTTACAAAACCAGTTTTTTCTGTTATTATTACTTCAGGATGACCCCCCCTCTTCCCCCCCCGCTACTTTATCATAGGTAATGGGGAAGCTTTACTGCAGAAAAAAGTTCCTACAAATGCACACAAAAAATTGCAAACATGACACTCACAGAAAATAAAAGCACTCTTGGATGCACACACGTACCACATCTTTAAATATTAAAGGTTGGCTTTAAAGAGTATGAAATGTTCACAAAACACAAAGTTAAAAAAGACAAAGATGGTAGGGGGAACATGATATGAACATATGTATTGAAATATCACGAATCGCTGTCATCTGCAAAAGTGTCTTCCCATCTTTACTTTTCCTTTGGAACCAAACGGCAAAGCTTCTGTGGATGTGTTACTGAAAGTCTGCTGGAGACCCTTTTAGACAGAGTTGGATGTGGAATTTTCAGTTGTGTCATTGCACAAAGCAGAATGCACCACCTAGAACAATGCAATTATGGGAAAACACTGTCTTCTCAGACCTAGCTTGAAAGAAATAAAAGACTTTATAATGACAGCCAAATTATCACCAGATGTTTCAGCTAGCAGATTTCTTTCACCATAAATAATCCAGAAGACACATCCACATATCCAAAGGAGATGCAAAGAAACACAGAAAATGGGGTTGAAATCCACTTGAGGAATAGGACAATCTATTTTACTTCTGTCAATGGAGGCCTTAAGAAAAGGCCAAATAAACACATCATAAGTGACGACTTCCCCAAGCTATCTCTATGCTCTGATTTTCTTACAAAAAGAATTTTCTTGTAATGTCTACCTTTCATCTTTCTCCTCGCAGTTTAGTTCTACTCTCTTTATCCAACCATTAATATTCTCTGTGTCCTATTATTTTCCTCCTTTAAAACAATTGTTACACATCTGGTGTCTCTTTC